AGAAGCAGGCTCCCTGCTGGGCACGGAGCCCTATGTGGGGCTCAGTCCTAAGACCCTGGGATTCTAACCTGAGCCGAAGGCCAAACTTAACTGACTGAGCCACCCAACTGCCCAAGAATGTAGTTCTTTAGATGGATATATTTTCATTCAATAAGATTAGAGTTCTGTTACCAAGGAAGCAAGGGAGAGTGGAGATTGTTTAGGTTTCTAGCAGTGTCTGTCGTGTTTTACCAGATTCTAATCATCCGGTGTCAGTTTCTTTATTTTTTAAAATCAGAGATTATTGGCTCCTCACAAAGTTATTTTGTGAAGATGGAATAATCTAACACACAAATACTGTGAGGAGAGTGCCATGCATATTCTCAGTAAGCTCTCAGTAAAGCTGACACATTGTTGTAATTAGCATTATTTTCATTTTTTTGGTATCTTTTGATCTTTGTTGTATTTCTAGTGTCTAGAATGCTTTCCGACACACACGGGATAAATAAACATATTCTGAATGAATAAATGAACTTCCATTATGATTGGTTAAGATTTGGGGGTGGTAGGCAACAGAAATTGATTCTGGCCCACTTAACTCTTAATTGAAAGAATGTTATTTGCTTCTGGAAGTGACAAGATAGCTGGATAGTCGGCCTCAGGCATCGACAGGCATCCAATTATTGCTGTAATCATTTAGGTATAACTATTTTCATCCCGTCCTTGAATAACTCCATCCAACATTTAAAGCCCCATGAGACACTCTCATGTGCCAAATGGTACTGAATCATCTCTCTCTCTTTGGATAGGAAAGAATAGGACACCTTGTTTTATAGTCTCATCAAAACTGCATGTAACCGGGGGAAGCAAAGAATTAAGATGAAATCAATGAGAGGGATGAAATCAGCTGGAAGACACTGGGTGGAAAACAGAAATGTCCATCACATGTTCCCATTCCTTTTGGTTTGTGTTATTTCCACAAAGTCATGGTTGTGATTTAAGAGCATTCCCTGGGAGGAAAAAGAGACCTAGCAATTTGGCCTCTGTTAACACATCAGTATCTTCATTTTTTCCAATTAAATAGTGAACTGTCATTTTGTAAAACTGAGTGCAGGGACTCTGAACAGATGAGACTAGCAAGAATCTTTTTTAAAGACAAAGATGACAGGATGTGACAGTGAGGTCCTGGGGTTGATATTGAAGACCAAAAAACAGATGCTGAAGAAAGGTTATGCACTAATGCCAAATATAGGTACTTGGCTTGAGATAATGACATCTGCATAAATAAGCTTTCCAGTCATACAATTTCATAAACTTAAGTCATTGTTGCTAAATATTTCATTTTCTGTAATGATCACAATGCCAGTCTGGTTTTAGCAATTGATTACTCTCTCTAATAAAAAGTTGAGACCAGATGGTTTTTCATTTTGTTTGCCTTTATAGATGTAGCAGTGAATGTAGGTCCATGACAACCCAGAGATTTATTTTTAAGCATGATTCATAGTAGTTTTTCTACTATCATTATGCAAGTCTGTCAGACATTTGGAATTGCTTTAATTTGGTAAATTTTATTGGGATTTTTACAAATTGTAAAATTAAAATTATTCTCTTCATTTTATTGCTAGAAAAAAATCCTCAATTTATATGACTCCCAGAATTCATTTGCCTGATTTCAAATATATGTGCTACTACTGAAGGCCATTCCAAACCGTTGCTGGAAATGTAGTATGCTAGCCGATTGGATGTGCAGGGAGCTATAGAGCTTGCTTAGCTCCCTTAATGATTTGGTCTAGATTTTTACATAGTAATTGTTTAGATATTACAAGATTAATAAGTTCAGACTGATAAAAATGACACCCTTGTTTGCTCTGGAAATGTGGAATTTATAAAATTGAACAGCAAAGAAAAATCTACTTTTATGAAATAGACTTTATAAAATTTTCTTCTTTTTTATTTTAGTCATTTATTTCTGTGATCTGGCATTAGGAAATATATATAAAAATGCCATTAAAGAGTGCATGAACAATTAAAAATTGAGTTTTACACAAACTAAAATAACTTTGGAATGCATTATTTAGAAATTAAAAATTCTTTTTATTTTTTATTTAAATTCAGTTAACTAACGTACAGTGTATTATTAGTTTCCAAAGTAGAGTTCAGTGATTCATCAGTCTTGTATAATACCCAGTGCTTGTTACATCACATGCCCTCCTTAATGTCCATCACCCAGTTAGCCCATCTCCCCACCTCCCCACCCCCACTCCAGCAACCCTCGGTTTGTTTCCTATGATTAAGAGTCTCTTATGGTTTATTGCCCTCTCTGATTTTGTCTTCTTTTATTTTTCCCTCCCTTCCCCTATGACCCTCTGTTTTATTTCTTAAATTTCACATATGAGTAAGATCGTATGGTAATTGTCTTTCTCTGATTATTTCACTTAGTATAATACCCTCTAGTTCCATCCACATCATTGCAAATGGCAAGATTTCATTTTTTTGATGGCTGAGCATATTCCATTATATATATATATATATATACACACACACACACATACATGCCACCTCTTCTTTATCCATTCATCTGTTGATGGACATCGGGGCTCTTTCCATAGTTTGGCAATTATGGACATTGCTACTACAAATATTGGGGTGCAGGTGCCCCTTCATATCACTACATTTGTATCTTTGGGGTCAATACCTACTAGTGCAATTGCTGGGTCATAGTAGCTCTATTTTCAACTTTTTGGGGAACCTCTATACTATTGTCCAGAGTGGCTGCACCAGCTTGCATTCCCACCAACAGTGTAGGAGCGTTCCCCTTTCTCCACATCTTTGCCAACATCTGTCGTTTCCTGACTTGTTAATTTTAGCCATTCTGACTGGTGTGAGGTGGTATCTGATTGTGGTTTTGATTTGTATTTCCCTGATGCCGAGTGATGTTAAGCATTTTTTTATATGTCTGTTGGGTGTTTGTATGTCTTCTCTGGAGAAATGTCTTTCATGTTTTCTGCCTGTTTCTTGATTGGATTATTTGTATTTTGGGTGTTGAGTTTGATAAGATCTTTATAGATTTTGGATACTAGCCCTTTATCTGATATGTCATTTGCAAATATCTTCTCCCATTCTGTCGGTTGTCTTTTGGTTTTGTCTTTGGTTTTGTCGACTGTTTCCTTTGCTGTGCAAAAGCTTTTTATCCTGATGGAAGTTTCAATAGTTCATTTTTGCCCTTGCTTCCCTTGCCTTTGGCGATGTGTCTAGGAAAAAGTTGCTCTGGCTGAGGTCAAAGAGGTAGCTACCTGTGTTCTCTAGGATGTTGATGGATTCTTGTCTCACATTTAGGTCTTTCATCCGTTTTGGGTCTATTTTTGTCTATGGTGTAAGGAAATGGTACAGTTTCATTCTTCTGCACATGGCTGTTGAATTTTCCCAACACCATTTGTTGAAAAGACTGTCTTTTTTCCATTGGATATTCTTTCCTGCTTTGTCAAAGATTAGTCGACCATAGAGTTGAAGGTCCATTTCTGGGCTCTCTATTCTTTTCCACTGATCTATGTGTCTGTTTTTGTGCCAGTACTACACATCTTGATGATTACAGCTTTGTAATATAGCTTGAGGTGTGGAATTATGATACCACCAACTTTGGTTTTCAATTTCAGTGTTCCTTTGGCTATTTGGAGTCTCTTCTTGTTCCACACAAATTTTAGGATTATTTGTTCCAGCTCCAGGGAAAACGTTGGTGCTATTTTAATAGGGATTGCATTGAATGTATAGATTACTCTAGGTAGCACAGACATTTTAACAATATTTGTTCTGAAATGGAAGGAAAACCTCCACAAACTCCTTCCATAAGGCCAGCATTACCTTGATCCCAAAATCAGACAGAGACCCCACCACAAAGGAGAATTACAGACCCATATCCCTGGTGAACATGGGTGCAAATTTTCACCAAGATACTAGCCAATAGGATCCAACAGTACATTAAAAGGATTATTCAGCCTGACCAAGTGGGATTTATTCCTGGCTGCAAGGGTGGTTCAACATCCGCAAATCAATCAATGTGATAGAACACATTAATAAAAGGAGAGAGAAGAACCATATGATCCTTTCAATAGGATGAGAAAAAGCATTTGACAAAGTATAGTGTCCTTTCTTGATTAAAACTCTTCACAGTGTAGGGATAGAGGGAACATACCTCAATATTTTAAAAGCCATATATGAAAAGCAAATATCATTCTCAGTGGGGAAAAACTGAGAGCTTTTCCCGTAAGGTCAGGAACATGACAGGGATGTCCACTAACACCACTGCTGTTCAACATAGGACTAGAAGTCCTAGCCCCAGCAATCAGACAATAGAAAGAAATAAAGGCATCTGAATTGACAAAGAAGATGTCAAACTCTCACTCTTCGCAGATGACATGATACTCTATGTGGAAAACCCAAAAGACTCCACACAAAACTTGCTAGAACTCAAACAGGAATTCAGCAAAGTGGCAGGATATAAAATCAATGCACAGAAATCAGCTGCATTTCTATACACTAACAATGAGAGAGAAGAAAGAGAAATTAAGGCATCAATCCCATATATAATTGCAGCAAAAATCATAAGATACCTAGGAATAAACCTAACCAAAGAGGCAAAGGATCTGTACTCAGAAAATTATAGAACACTCATGAAAGCAATTGAGGAAGACACAAATGGAAAAATGTTCCATGCTCATGGATTGGAAGAACTAATATTGTTAGAAATTAAAAATTCTTAACATTGTATAATTTGTCAACTTTTTCTTTGTGCAATAATGCTGATCTTTTTATTTTTATGTTTCTTTTTCTGCAGGTCTTTAATAGATTATTGAAACTACAAACTCGCATCCACAGTGGCTTCATGTTGACAGATTTCATATTTTGAAAGCTTGAGATATTTTATAATGAAACATGCCATGTGGAAATTTTGAAGCATAGAATTCTGCCAAACACCTGAATAAAGAATTTCTCACCTGGTATGTAAGAGACTTCTCACTACCACCATGACAAACCAGGAGAAGTGGGCTCACCTTAGTCCCTCAGAATTTTCCCAACTTCAGAAATATGCTGAGTGTAAGTATTCATATTGATAATATGACTTGATTTGGCATTTGTGTTAAACAAGATACTGATTATTTATAAGAACAGATTATACATCCTGTTCAGCACCGAAATCGATGTAGGTATGTCTTTTGTGTTTGCAGGTAAGTCTACTTGAGACTACCTTTTGGCATGAGAAAAAGGAAAAGGTAAAAAGCTAAACTTAAATCAAGTATAAAATCTAGAAAAAAAGGAACTAGGGTGTTAGATGCAAAACTAAAACTGAAACATTCCAGGTGTAACAGAAGTAAAGCAAAAGATAAGACAATTTGGGTGAAAGGAAATTGGTGATACTGCAACTGAGGAGAAGGACAAACAGAAGTAAGGGGGAAAAGTGAGAGTTTGTTATTGTTGTTTCTTATATTTTCTGTTTGTTAGCATAACATAGAAAAAGGACTGGGAGTTGGGAGGCATAGATACACTGTGGAGCTGGAATTAGAGGTTGTTAGAGAGACGGTATCAGGACTTTAAGCCAACTTTTTCAAATGTGTATATTTATACAAAAGATAGGCCATGGCAATTCAATTTATAGTAGGCTATTTTTAAATATTAAGTTTCTTTACACATAAACAGTAAGATTTTATCTATAAAGAATTTTATTTTTAACATGGATTTTCAGGAATATATCTGTTTCATGAAATGAGTTTCAACTATAAATATGAATAACACCTGGGTCAAGGTGTTAAAGAGAGAAAAGGGGGTACCTAAAAAGTCTGAGGCACCAAAAGGTTGGGAAGATGATGAGTAGAGAAAAAAATAACACGTAGAGAACGTAGAAGATTGAAGAGAGTGGGGGAATAACATGGTGCCTGGAAGAAGAGAATGAAAGAAGCTTTAGAAAGAGGAGAACAACTGATAGCATGCAAGAATGGAAGACGAAAAATTGAAGCAGCTGGGATGCCTATGCAGAGAGGAGGTGTGGCATACGGGAGTAAAGGAATGGATGGAGTAAGACTATGAAGGAGAGGCAGAGAGAAGAAGAATTTGAAATAATAAGTAATAGATACGTTGATGATAGTGAATAATAACATACATTTATGGGGTACAGATAAGTCAGGAACATTAATAAACAAGTGTTTATGCATATTATCTGAAAAGGCCAACTTCACGGGTTTTCTAGAATCTTGCTCACTTGTGGGCTGAAGTGTTCTGGGTGAGGTTGTGAGGGTGCTGCTGGGTGTTTGCAATAAAGATGCAAAGCCATAAGAACATGTGTATGTTCTTTGTCAATAACAAAAATTACAATAGCTATCGCTGGTGGGGGGCAGAAATTTCTGCCATCAAAATGTGCTCCTCATATTCACAAACTGTTCTGAGCAGCTGAGAGCACAATTCAGCCTCTTGTCCCGTTTCGTCCAAAATGGCTGGATTCTTATCTGCATTTTTATACTTGATAATTTTGGAAATTGACTAAAAAATGATTTACCGATGTTTTCCAATTTCTGTATGCTCTCTACTGTTGTGTTATACCCAATAATTAAGTAAATAATTCTTAGCATTTTCTTTAGGGAGAATATTCTGCTTGGCACTGAAAGAACCACAGATAGGAACAGATATGTTCAAGGATGTTTAACGAAGGCTAGAAACAAATGGGTAAATAAATGTCTCTGTATCTAGGCAGAATATTTTAAGTGCCACAGAGTTTGGGGTGCTGTAGGGCCTTAGTATGCAGTTGGAGATGGGGAAAGGGAAATCTTCATGGAAGAAGTAGGGTTGGAAGTGAATCTTAAAAAGTAAGTTTAAGAGATGGTGGAAGTGCTTCTTTCCAAACACCAAGTGTTAGCGGGCTTATGCTTTATCCGGGGCATTGGCGGCCATGACATTTCTGCACAAAAATTTTTAGATGCCACGAAGCAGACTGAAGGCAACATGCTTTTCTATGCTATATTTCAGTTTTTTGAACAGTGAAACCAGCGTTTGCGAGGGAACCCTAACTTCACACCAGGAGAACACTGTGAAGAACATGTTGCTTTTTTCAGACAGGTTTTTGGAGACCAAGTTCTAATGAGGCCTACAACATTCTGAAATCGCTTGCTCGTTTTTTTTATGTATATAAAAATGTGTACGAAGTTGATTTATTGCATTAATAAAGCTCTTTAAACTACAAAAAAATAGGTAGGTTTAAGGTAAATGGAGAAGAAAATAATATAGATAAAAAGGAAAATTCAGCATATATTTGAGGGAGAGGAGTCATATTTAGCTATACCACAAATTAAGGGTGTAAGTACAGTTAAGGATGTAAAAATGAGATTAAATTAAAATATACAGTGCTAAACTTGAGTAAAGCAGTGAGGAGTAATTGTAGGATTTTTTTTTTTTAAAGATTTTATTTATTTATTTGACAGACACAGCAAGAGAGGGAACACAAGCAGGGGGAGTGGGAGAGGGAGAAGCAGGCTTCCCGCGGAGCAGGGAGCCCGATGCGGGGCTCGATCCCAGGACCCTGGGAGCCGAAGGCAGACACTTAACGACTGAGCCACCCAGGCGCCCCAACTGTAGGGTTTTAAGGGCAGAACAACAAGAACAAGGAGTTTAACTTGGCAAATACAAGGATGGTATAAGGTAATGGAAAGAGACTAGCATCATGCCAGTGGGCTACTGGAATAGACTAAATAATGTGGATAATGAAAGATGACCAGAAAAGTGTAGATTCAGATATTATAGCATTAAAACTAACAGAGAGCTTGGGAAATAATAAAACAGAGAGAGAGAGAAATCGAAAATTTAGTTCCAAAGATTTGACTTGAAGAATGGGAGAATTTGGTGACATAATCCCCCAAGTAAAGAAAACATGGAGTTTGGTTTAGTTTATGTTGAATTTAGCTGGATAATTAAAATATATGTTATTGTTTATGGAAGCATTAAAATAAAATAGGTAAATTATTGCCATAATAGCTAAATTATCATTTATAAAGACTGCTCAGATATTAAGATTCCACTTGAATTGATAAACAGAATTTAATACTGAAGTATTAAATACTGCTTTCATTTTATTGCCTAAAGAATATGGCATTCATTTAATTATATCATAAAAATGCTAGATTTAGTAATTAATTTGTGGAAATACCTAAAACAAGTGGTAATAAAAATTGTCATAAATGTAAAAGTTGTAACATATTGAGACAAAGATTAATGAGCATTCAATAAATTGGTAGTAAGAAGTGACACATTGAGTATAAGAACATTTTAAAATTGATTTTATGAGGACACAAATTAACTGAATAACTGAGAGTTAAAAAAAATAGTGCAGATTCCATTATCATTAGACTTGCTACTCTTTTTTCAATAAGCAAGACTGAATGAAAAGTCCTAGACTTAATCCCCCAAGAAATTTCCTGTGTAATTAGGCAAAGAATATTGTGATTAGAATGTATCCTTGTATAATAAATTGCCATTGTCAAAATATAGCTGAAGATTATGAAAGTAGTATATTTTCCATGCAATTTAGTGCATGTGATCAGTTTGTTAGCAGGATTTAAGCGTCAGATTTTTCATATTGCAGTGCAGCATTGACAAAGTTACATTCCTCCATTGTCTAATAGAAAATGGTATATTGGATTCACTTTCTTGACTTTGTTTTGTAGCTTTCAATAAGAAGCTGTTTGTATGCATTAAATTAAATGAAAAACAAGTTACTGTTTTAAGGTTAAATTTGCAGCACGCTAAGATTATATGTGCTATATATATCAAATAAGTGTTTCATATGCAAAGAGTAAGAGGAGCAGTAAGTTCCCAGGGACTATTATAAGGACACTAATCCAGTTGGGGCCCCACTCTCATGACTTCAGCTCGTTCTAATTACCTCCCAAAGACCGCTCCTATTGGAGTCTAGTATATCAACGTATGCCTTTGGTGGGGACACATTTTAGTTTCTCAACTTGGGCTTTTCTTGTGATCATTTGGGGAAAAACAGAGTGATATTGGCACATCACTCCTAGTTAGGCAGCTAGCACATCAGACAGCTTGTATTCAAATCCTCAGCCTCCATATTTTAGATTTCTCATTTGGGGAAAGTTACTTAACGTCTCTGTGTCCCATTTTTCACACTTGTAAAATGTGGAAAAAAATCAATATGTCAAGGGTTGTGAGTATTAAATCGAATGAGTTAATAATATATGTCAAATCATGATAGCCGTGCCTGGCAAGTTGTAAGTGATATAGCTGTTTACAATGATTGTTTTAATAAGAAGGAAGTGAGTGTGTTCTTTGGGCTGTTTGAATGTATTGTTGGTGATCAATAGAAAAGTGCCACGTTTTGGAGCACAGTCAGTGTCTTCCCCCGCTGCTCTAAGACTAGATTCTTCCCACAAGGTAGAAACTTCTGGTGCTATTGGCAGCCTTGGTTCTGTGTTGTCCCCACAAATGCTTAAGGCAGCTAATGTGAAGCCTGCTGTGGTTGCCTACAGCATGCTGAGACCATGCTCCTGTTTAGGGTTTTAGGCTGAGTCACTCCATGGGAAACATTTCCATTGATATGTGGGAGAGCCGTATAATTTTCTTTCCCACTCTTCATATAAAGTCATCCAAACTGTTGTTACGAGATAGAGAGCTCACGCTCCTGCCGTGTAGAGAATTGAGCTTATCACATTATTAGTTTGCCAGGGCTTCCTGCTGTTGTTTCAGGGCATAGCAAAGGGTTAAGATACTCCAGGTCTTTTCATGGATGACAATATTGTCTTTGTAAAATCTACACGCTGTTTCCAAGTGATTCATTATCTGCCCACATATTGTCACTTAGGTTTAGCTTTTTATTTGTTATATATAAAGTGTGTTATATAGCATGCCAATTACTTTTGAAAAATACTGTGTTATTACGGTGGGAGCACTTCCAAATTTTCATAAATTTTATGCTCTTTATAGCAGCTGGCATTGTGGAGAGGTGCAAAATTATGACGAATGTGTTCTTTTCAATAAGGACCAGTATGCCTAATATTTGGCCCTACTGTACCAGTATGCCTAATATTTGGCCCTTT